GCCATCCCCCCTGGGGGGTGATTTCTCGCTTTCTGTCTCTATGTCTCTCTCTGTCTGTCTGGCGAGCGCACGTGCCCTGTAGCGAAAACCTCTCCCCCCCAAAAAAAGAGAAAAAAAAAAAAAACTATGCCTGGATTTCCATGTCTTTACACCAAAATAAACTTGGATTTTAATTCCATAAACCTTTTCTTTTTAAAGAGGTTTTTGGTATAGGGTGCGTGCACTAGCCAGAAAGACAGAGAGAAACAGAAAGATAGAAAGCAAGAAATCACCCCCCAAGGGGGATGGCCACGCCCCAATCCCTTCTCCTCTATTCTCCTCTCGGGATCTTGGGCACGCACGCACACGTGCCCGGCGTGAGTTTAAGCCACCGGGGCCGGGATTCAAATTGCGGTCAACTACATGGGAATCTAGTGACATAGTCATTATGCCAACTGCTGGTCCCAATAAACCTTATTACTAGAATTATTTTTTAAAGAATTCTGTTCATTTTATTTATTATTATTATTTTTAAAATTAGGCCAGAGAGAGAGACACAGGAAAAAGAAAAAAGGAGGGAAAATGAGAAAGCAAGCTGCCAGGTCCAGGACTCGAATTGTGGTCAGCCATGAGGGAGCCAGCGTCCCAAACACCACACCACACCACCTGCCGGCCCAAGAATTATTTAATTTTATTTGTTGTTGTTATTATTATTATTTTGCAATAGGGTATGTACGCTCACCAGAGAGAGGGAAAGTGAGAAAGCAAGTCACCAGATCCAGGACTTGAACCGTGGTTGGCCGTGTGGGAGTCCAGAGCCCATGCCACCTGCTGGCCCCTTATAAAACTTTTCTTTTTTTAGGTTTTTGCTATGGACCCATGCACGCACCAGACACACACAGAGAGACAGAAAGCGAGAGATCACTCCCAAGGGACATGTCCACGCCAAAATCTCCTCCCCTCCATTTTCCCCCAGGGACTCTGGGCATGCATGCACACACGTCTGGTTTGACTCCCAAGCCTGGTAGGTCTGGGACTCAAACCACCACCTCAGTCATGTGGGATCCAGCCCTCTTACCAATCGTGCCACTGCTTGGCCCCTTACATCCTTTTAAGGATCCCATATAGCCTGCTGCACAGTTCGAGTCCCGGACCTGGCGGCTTGAAATTCACTCCAGGCATGTGTGCGTGCGTGCCCAGAATCCCAAGTTGAGAATGGAGGAGAAGGGATTGTGGTGTGGCCATCCCTCCTGGGGGCGATTTCTCCTTTTTCCTCTCTCTGTCTCTGTGTCTCTGCCTCCAGCACACATGCCCTATTGTGGGGGGGAACAAGAGAGAAGAGAGAGTATATTCGAGGTTCGGTACCTTCCTTGGTTTGAGGCTGTCACTGGGGGTCGTGGGACATACCCCCGACAGATAAGGGGGACCAGTGCACCCACATGGACACGGACATGCCCTCAATCTCCTCGCTCATTTTCTGGCTACAGCGTGGTCTCGAAAATTCCCTATACCTGTCCCTGGACAAGCGGGTGGCGCTACCTAGCGGGGATGAGATCTGGGTCCTTCCTGCAGTCCCAGTGACCCCACGCTGTCCCCTGCCCTCCCCCAGAGCCTCATCAACTCCGTGGATGAGCTCATGGAAACCCTCGGGGACATGGAGACACTGCCCCCACACGTCCGGCACCGCATGGCCACCCACCTCCTTTCAGGCCTCGAAGATGTCCTGAGATCCATCGCAGGGACCTTACCTGAAGGTCCCTTCACCTACCGTTCCCCTTCCAAAACAGGTGAGGCTTCCTCCTGCCCCGCCCCGGCCGCAAACCCAGCCTGTCCCCCGTGTCCTTCACGCTGCCCTTCCGCCCTCAGAACTGTCCCTGATGGTCCAGGAGCGGGGGACGGGAAATGTCACCGTGGGTCAAAGCCACGCACGGGTGATGCTGGACTGGGCTGTGGCAGCCGGCGACGGGGGCTCAGGTAACAGCGGGGAGCAGAGGGGGGATCCCGAGGACAGAGACGGGGCAGGAGCAGGGACAACTGGAAACAGCCATGGTGTGGTGGTTGGGGGACCACAGCCATCATGGCAGAATGGCCGAGAGTCTGAACGGAAGGGAGAGGACAGGAGGGCAGTCAGTGTGTCTGTCCCCCCAGGCCGCACTGTGGTGGGAGTCCTCTCCAGCAACATGACCAAGTTGCTGGCCAACGCCTCTTTCGACATGGACCCCGAAACGCAGAAGGAGCTGGAAGAATTCTACGAGAGCCCTGTCCGTGGTGCCCGGCTCAGGCTCCTCTCGCCCGTCAACTCTGTCTTCCTGAGCAACAAGAACACCAAGCGACTAGACTCCCTTGTCACCTTTGCCTTCTCCCACGACGTAAGCCTGGAGCGTGTGTGGGGTGTCCCCTGCTCACCCCCAGACACAGCTGGGGACCTCCCTTGGTTTTTATTTTTTTATTTCTTTACTTTTTTTTTTTGCCATAGGGTATGTGTGCTCACCAGAGAGAGAGAGAGAGAGAGAGAGAGAGAGAAAGTAAGTAAGCACCCCGTAGGGAACAAGCACATGGCAATCCCTTCTCCTCTATTCTCCTCTTAGGATCTTGGGCACGCATGCACACGTACCCTGTCTGAGTTAAGCTGCTGGGTCCAGGACTCGAACCACAGTCAGTCATGTGGGAGTCCAGCGATGTAACCATCCCACTCTCTGCTGGTCTCCCATCTTGGGATTTTGGGCACACAGCCACATGTGCCTGGCATGAGTTTTGAGCTGCTGGATCCGGGACTCGAACCTCAGTAGACCATGTGGGAGTCCAACGCCTTAACCACAACGCCACCTGCTGGCTTCTGCGTTTACCACCTTTTAAAATATATATATATTTAATTTTATTCATTATTATTATTATTATTTTTAATTTGGTAGATGGTACGTGCACTCACCAGAGAGAGAGAGAGAGGGAGGGAAAGTGAGAAAGTAAACCACCAGGTTCAGGACTTGAACCGCAGTCAGCCATGTGGGAGCCCAGCGCCTTAACCGGCTGGCACCACCACCTTTTTTAGAGTTTCTTTATTTCTTCCATTAGCAAGAGAGACGGAGGGAAACAGGAACCCCCAACAGGATCCTCACGCGGCAATCTGCCCGTCTCAGCTGGGCCTGGATCATGAACATGCAAACACCTTGCATGCACAGGGAGGTCCCGGGACCCAAACCCAGGACCTCTCCCATGTGGGTCCAGTTCTGTTTCTTCCGCGCCACCACCCAGTCCCACACAGAGCATCTTCCACTCACTGCCCAGGTTATATGCGGTCGTAGGAGTCCCCTAAGCTCAGAGACTGGTATCTGCTCTGTTTAGGTTGTCCCCAAACCTACTGGGTTGTCAGAAAAGTCATGATGAGGGGCCGGCAGGTGGCGTGGTGGTTAAGGTGCTGGACTCGCACATGGCCGACCACGGTTTGAGTCCTGGACCTGGAAGCTTGCTTTCTCACTTTCCCCCTCTCTCTCTCTCCCTCCCTCTTTCTATCTCTGGTCAAATAAAATAATAATAATAATAGTAATAAATGAAATTAAATAACTATTTTTTTTTTTTTGAAAAAAGAAGTCGTGATGTAGTTTTTCTAGGCAAAAATGTACCACGGCTTTTCTAACAACCCAATAGCACACGAAAAGCTCAGTAAATAGTGGTCCATAAAAGTGCTCCCTTCAGAGCTAGCAGTGGTGTGGTGGTTAAGGCACTGGACTCCCACATGGCCGACTCTAGTTCAAGTCCCAGACCGGGAGGCTTGCTTTCTCACTTTCCCTCCCTCTCTCTCTAGTAAATTAAAAAATAATAATAAATTATTTTTTTAATATTTAATCTACTGCTATTATTATTATTTAATTTGACCAGAGAGAGGGAGAAAGAGAGAGAGAAAGTGAGAAAGCAAGACACCAGATCCAGGACTTGACCTGCCATCAGCCATGTCAGAGTCTAAGACCTCAAACACCACGCCACCTGCTGGCCCTAAAAATATTGCTTTTTCTTAAAAAAAAAAAAAAGTGTTTATTTATTTCATTCCATTTGTTGTTGTTGTTATTATTATTTAACTTGACTAGAGAGAGAGAAAGAAGGGAAAGGAAAGTGAGAAAGCAAGCCCCCAGGTCCAGGACCCAAACTATGGTCAGCCACGTGGGAATCCAGCACCTTTAACCACCACGCGACTTGCTGGCCTCTCTAAAATTTTTTTTTTTTTGAGAGTTTTTTTGCTATAGGGCGTGTGCGCTCACCAAACAGAGAGACAGAGAGATAGAAAGCGAGAAATCAACCCCAACGCGGGATGGCCACACCACAATCCCTTCTCCTCCATTCTCCTCTCGGGATCTTGGGCACGCACGCACACGCGCCCGGCGTGAGTGTAAGCCACCGGGTCTGGGACTCGAACCGCGGTTGACTACATGGGAGTCCAGCGACATAGCCATTACACTAACTGCTGGTCCCAGTCTAAAAGTAATTCTTTAAAAAAAAAAAAAAAGGAAAATGGCAAAATCAGAAAAAGAAAAGTGATCCTCTCTCCGCTCACTCCAAACCCGGAACTCAATCGTGGGCTCTGATCACCCCCATTTGCCCCCAGGTGGACACACCCAAGACGCGCCAGGAGCTGATCTGTGCCTTCTGGAAGAATGACAGCGAGCGGGGAGGACACTGGGCCACCGAGGGCTGCCGGAAGCTGGGCAGCAGGAACGGCAGCACCACGTGCCAGTGTAACCACCTGAGCAGCTTTGCCATCCTTGTGGCACACTACGACGTGGAGGTAGGCTCCTGGGGGCCCCTGGAAACCAGCGGGTGACAATTCCGGCTTAGACAAGACCTTCGGCGGGTTCTGTGTGGTGTGGCCCGACCGGCTGTTCCAACATGTCTGTGTGACTACACACCCCAGGGACCCTCGTGCCACGCACCCCAGCCCCTTCCCTGCTACCCTGGCCTAGCAACATGTGGTGGGCTGACACTGCGTGCCCCTGCCTGTCCGCCCTGGCCAGTTGTGAAATCTTTTTTTATTTTGGGGGCGGGGGGGGGGGGTTG